CCGGCAGCAGCCCCTGCAGCACCGCGGAGCGCGCCCAGCCCGCCGCGGACCGGTTGAGGTGGAAGCGGCTCTCGTTCCCCAGGCACCAGATCTGGGGAGGCCGAGACCCGGGTTAGAGTCAGGAATGGGATTCTGGAAACTTGACGCTCATGGCACAGGGCGCTCAGCCAGGCATAATTCAGCCTGGAGCGGGCACGGAACCCTCTCTCCTCCCCCAGAGCCTCCCCCCTCCCGCCCCCTGCAGCCACAAGGCTGGCCCTAGACCCCTTCCAATCCTAGCCCGGGCCCTCCTCCCCCTCCCACCCAGCCGTCTCCCTCCCACACACCCTGTACCTGGTATTCCTTGATGACCCCATTCTGCTGGGAGGGAAGCGGGGGTTCCCACGACACCGTGATACTGCTGTTGCCTTCACCCCCCAAGGCTACTGCCACTGCCTGGGGGGGACCGCTGGGGGCTGGCCAGGGTGGAACGTGGTGAGAAGGACTCAGCCATTGCAAGCTACCCCTCAGGCCCCAACCTCTTCCCACCCCCACCCCCAGTTCTAACATCTTAGGGAACTAAGGCTTCGAAACTACTTGCCTTGCTCCCCCGCCCCCCCCCCCAAGCCTTCCCCCTCCCACTCCCCTCTTGTCCATCCAGCAGCTCCCTGCCGCCCCTTACCCTCCTCAGGCGTGCTCCTGGCCACCAAGAGGCTGTCAGCACCCAGCCCCTCCTGGCCTTGGGCTTGCACCTTGATCTGAATGCGGGTCCCCGGGGGGAGTCCTCTCAGCACAGTACTCTGCTGGCTTGGGGACTGTAGGTCCAGCACTGTCCAGCTTCCCCCATCAGGACCTGCTACCCTCCAAGACACCCGGAAACCTTGCACCAGCTGGACTGGGCCATCTACCTGCAGGGGAGAAGAGGGAGCGTACCAGGCCCAGCCCCTCCTCCATTCACCCGTCTTCCCCAGCCACTCCCTTCCCACCCTCCCCCACCCATTCTTGGAGGCCCCTATGTCCCCTGTCATTATCCCTGCCCTTCACCTCATCCCTCTGCCACACTCACAGTCCAGGACACCTGCAGGGTCCGGGGCCCAAGGACGATGGGCTCCTGCAGACGCACAGCCACTTCAGCCAGTCCCGGCTGGCCTCCCCGCGGGTCCTCCACTGGCCTGGATGGGTTGCTGTCTGTTGACCAAAGAGCCCGCTCAGCAGGGGCCAGCAGGGGCAGGGGGTCACCACTGACAGTGTGCTGTGTCCTGCCCCTGTCCTGCCCTGCAGACAGTCCTACTTAGTGCTCCAGAGCACACCCCAGGGTCAAGAGAGGCTGGGGGAGGGGGGACCGAGGTGGGCCTTCTAGTCCTGATAATCTACATACGCTGTAAGGGACTCAGGAGTGAGGTGCCACCAAGGAGACTGAATCATTCTCCACCCCGTGTGTCTCTCCCCTCCTCCTCCTGCTCCTCCTCCTCCTCCCCCTCCTCCTCTTCCTTCTTGTTCTCCCCTCTCCCCCCCCTCCTCCCTTCTCCCCCTCCTCCTTCTTCTCTTGTTTCCCCTAATGAGAGAGAAAGCATGACCCTCTTGCTTCAGGCCAGCCCTCTCCCCCCCCCCCCAAA